GTTTTAAATGGAATCAAAAGTTCCATTTGATTCTTTTCATGGTGTCTACTTCTTTATGGAATTCCTCCTTCAAGTCATGGGAGGATTTTCTCCTCTCTTAGAATTAGTTGTCTGTTTCCTCTTGCATCTCACTGAGTTTTGTTATGATAAATATTATGAATTCTTTTTCTGACATTTCTGTGATCTCTAATGTTTATTCACTGTTGGTGAGGAGTTGGTTTTGTTTCTGTTTCTGGAGAGTGGAGATATTTCCTGGTTCTCTCCTACTTTTGGGGATTGGGCTTTGATTTTTAATCATCTGATGATATACTCAGTTCTTCTACTTCTATGGAGTATGTTTCTGTAGCTGTATGTTCTTACACTTCCCTACAATGTGAGTTAGCTCTTTGCCAGTTTCCATTCTTTTTTTTTTTAAAGATTTATTTATTTATTTAGCATTTTTTTTTTAACACAAGTTTTGCCAAAGAAAGAGAGAGAGAGAGACAGTGAGAAAGCAAGCCACCACCAGGTCTGGAGCTGAACCACAGTCAACCATGTGGGAATTCTAGAGCCTTCACCACACTACCTGCTGGCCCTCAGGTTTCCATTCTTTACTGTGGGTGAGAGTGTAGAATCCTCAGTGGGAGCTTTGGGTTCAGGTTTTCAGGCTGAGAGAATCCCTCAGAAATCTCATTGTTTTCAGGTGTTTAGTTCCTGTATACCCAAACCTCTCTGCTCCCAATGTGGCAGGAGAGTGAGCTGGACATGTAAATAGAATGTAAGGCAGTAGGCAGAATAGCATCAGTACAGGCGGGACAGCAGATCCTACCTCTTATCTCACCAGTAGAAATGTAAATTAGTATAGCCATTATGTAAAAGAGTAAGAAGGTTCCTCAAAAAAACTAAAATAGAACTGCTGAATGATCCAGTAATTTCACTACTGGGCATATATCCAAAGGAAAAACAAAAGTAGTATGTCATAAAACTATATTCACTCCAATGTTTATTATAGCACTATTCACACTAGTCAAGGTATAGGATCAACCTAAGTGTCCATCAATATACAAACTAAAAAAATGTGTAGACACACATAATGGAATACTATTCAGCCATTAAAAATTTGAAATCCTGTCATCTGTAATTACATGGACAAGTCTGGAGAATACTGTAAGTGAAACATATATATATACACACACACATATGTGTATATAGTTTTAAGCAGCCAGGTCCGGGACTCAAGCCATGGTCAACTACCTGGGACTCCAGTGACATAACCATTATGCCATCTGCTAGTCCCAACCTCTGAGACATTCTTATTTAATATGCTGACTGGGCTCACCTATGCATAAGACACCATTCCACATGCTAGAGACACAGTGTAACAGGAGAGATAGTGGTTACATCGCCTTTTTAAAAGTTCCAACAATATTGCAACTGACAAAAGAAATAGAACTATTATATAATTGATAATACAAAAGAAGAAATAATTAGAAGCGTGTAATTCCAAAGATTTACTAATAATAGTTGACAAATATGAGCATGAACAATAAGCAAATGATATGTTTAATGGGTTGGGGTTTTTTCTGGCTTATATTTCATTTTGTTTTTGGTAATCCTTTCACATTCTTACCTATCAGAGCAGTAAGCTGAAATAAAAATATGGGACCAGAACCAGTAGATGGCATAGTGGTTATATCACTGGACTCCCACATAGTCAACCACGGTTCAAGTCCTGAACCTGGCAGCTTAAAATTCAGGTGTGTGCGTGCATGTGTGCCCAAAATCCTGAGAGGAGAATGGAGCAGAAGTGATTGTGGCATGGCCATCCCCCCAATGGGTAATTTCTTGCTTTCTGTCTCTCTGTCTCAGTCTCTCTGGTGAGCGCACATGCCCAATAGCAAAAATCTCTCCAAAAACAAACAAAAAAAATTACTATCTACCTCTTCCCTCTTTCCAATCAAACACTGATTTCATATTATTTGGCAATTTTGAATGTCTTTTTGTTTTAGAAAAGTTTAAAATTAACAGTGTTACAAACATATTAAGTCACGCCCCTCTTTTTTATTTAACTTTGTTTTTTTAGTTTTTGCTATAGGGTGCATCCACTCAGGAGAGACAGAGAGAAAGAGATGGAAAGTGAGAAATCACCTCCAAAGAGGGATGGCCACATCACAATCCCTTCTCCTCCAGTCTTTGAGGATTTTGGATACATATGCACACACAGGCCCAAAATGATTTTTAAGCTACAAGGTCTGAGACTCAAACCATGCAGCCAGCCATGTGGGATCCAGTGCCTCAACCTCCACACCACCTACTGGCCCCTAACTTTATACTATAATATGAAAATAAGAAGCACTTAAATAAAAGAAATCTCAACAAAGTAAAAAAATGTTAAAATAATGAGAACTTTTCATATAATTATTAATTTAAGGTCAAATAGCCTTCTAAAAAACATAGTTAATAATTACTAAATTTAAAATTGTATAATGTCCTTGCCCAGTAAATACTGCTTATGTTCCACAAATTAGAATCTAAGAGACAAAAAGTTACAGACTTCTTTTAATACTCAGCTTGAAATCCCATATTTAAAACTAATAATTAAAATTAATCCCATATTATTAAAAATATCAATATCTATTGATCTATATCTATAAGCAATGAATTAAATGTTTAAAAATAAAATATATAACTATAGAGATCTATTATCATTCTTGTGAATGTTTATATTTTTTAAAGCGTATTTATTTATTTCACAGGAGTTGGGAGGAGATTAGTTAACTCGCTTGCCTAATATTTTAACTGAGCACTGAATAAGTAACATCAGAAGAAAGGACATATGAAGGATTTGTATTATGTAACACAATTAGTAAATATTAGCTGTAGAATGAGCTATTCCATTTCCTGAAAAAGGAAGAAGCCAGTCACCAGTTTTATCAATAGATCACAAAAGAGAGAGCAAGTAACATTTCAAATATTAGATGGGAAGAATAAAACATTATTTAATAGAAATACAATTTTTATTACATCACCTAGTTCCCCATTGAGGACTTTCAAGTTAAGAAAAGCATGAGAGAAAAAAATAAAATACACAGAGCAGTTGTACACCAATTACAAAGTTCATATTGGGAAAAATGGATTAAATATAGAGCATCTTGTTAGTGAATCACCATGTCATTGTTATTCAATGTATCTTTTCTGATTTGGGGGGCACATATTTTGGTATATATCTCTGAAAACATATAACCTCAGAGTTCTGCAAAAACCCTACACTACCCTACACTATTACTTGCCGAACCTTCCAACAGAAGCAGTCAATAAAAATGCCAGCCCTCTGTTTAGAGATGAGTAGGCACAACATGGTGTAATGCAGCCTGAGTGTCACATCTGCTTTGTCAACTGTTCTGGCTGTAGTAAGATTCTACCTCTGTTTCAACAGGCCAAATTTGTTAGGAACATCATATAGTGCATCCTTAGAAAATTGACCATCTAAAACAGCAACTAAAAAAGATAACCACTTGCTAATAAAGAGAGGAAGAAAGAAAGAAAGACGGACCCAAACATGAAGAGGCATATGATCATAGGTCAGAGAAGGCCCAGAGCTCTGCTCCTTTGATTTGTAGCACTGTCTTCTTTTCATTATACAACACTACCTTCTCCTTCAATGATATCTTAGGTCAGATGTTCATATCCCAATCAACCTGTCCAATGACCCCATTAGAACTTGAAATAAAGCCACTGCCCCACTTGCCCAAGGTCACACATGTTTCCAGGCAGGATAAGGTCCAAATGAATCCATCTCTTTTCATTCCTAATCCCACATGCTTTACCTTTTCTAGGAAAAGAAAATTTTGTCTAACGTGTAATCACTCAGGTAAATGTGCTTTCTTCAAAAAGACTGACGTCTATTTTGGCTGTTATTCCTCCATAGATTTTGTCCATGGGAATTTCATGCTACTCTTCATTTTCTGGGCCCATAGTACGCTGTATAGTTTCAAAGATCTAAAACCACAACCCGTGAAATCAGCATGTTCCAAAGTCATGTTATAGTCATTTTTCAGTCTCAACTGTCAAGAATCCTAAAAAGTACCCTTTTGGTCAAAGCTTCACATTCATATCATTAACACCAATGAGCATTATTTCTGAGATAAGCATATTAAACATCCATTAAGTCTATTACATTGTTTTTAGAAACTTTTAAGTTTATTTATTAATTCCATGACAGACACACACAAAAAGACAGGAATCTCCAACAGGGTCTTCACACCACAGTATATCCTTAGTCTCAGCTGACCAGGATGATAGACACCTACACATGCAACCAGAGTGCTCAAGGAGGTCCCAGGATGCAAACCCAGAACCATTCCCACACAGGTCAAGTTGCATTACCACTGCTCCACAGACTGTCTCCACTGCCTGTCCCCCATAGAAATGGTTTTCATGTACCTTTTTTAATCCTTAAAACTTCATTTATAGTCTAACGCAATCTAGACTTTCAGCAAATTATAAAGACTTTGAGTAATTTTTGTCATATAATTACATGTAGACATGCCAAACTGTATCTTCTTCTCTAGAATTAGTGAAATGTTTATTTTTCTCTACTTCTCCTAATAAACTGTCTTTCAACTGCATCCAACTGTATCTTTAAAATACTTAAAGAAATTCAATACAAATTAATCTGATTAAAGGAAACTCAAAGAGTCTTGCCATCAAAGCAGCAAAGCCCTAATAACTGTTATTTTAACTATTTTACAGATTTTTTAAATGCACCTGTAAAAAAAGTATTATATTAGATACATGGTATATATTTCAGAACACAAATGTTAATATACTTTCTTAAGCTCAAATTACACTATAGGTTACTAAAAATAATTAAATGATAACCAAGCAGTAAATTCAAATAACAAAATAGCAAAATGTCATCTCTTAACTGAATGCCAGTTATTCATTTCTGTCAACTGTCCTGAAGGTGTCATAAATAAATGAGAGCAGTATCTATATAAGAAATATTTTGAGAAACTTACCATCATTTTGGCTCTTGCCCTTCATTTCCTCTTTCCATGACAGAATAGTGTTCAGGGGAACATAGTCCCTTAAGTATTCTTTGCGTCTCTCCTCTAAGGTCATCTTCAGCAAACGTTCTTGCAAAATAAAAGTAGAATCTCCATTTGTATTTTATGTTTAAGCTCAGGAGGTATTTTATACTTTAAATATTAATTATGTTAAACTAACTAAACACTTAGCACAATCTTGAGGAACACCAAAATGCAAATTCAATGATTCCATATATGAATGTTAAAAGGTATCAAATTAATTCCTTATTAACAAGGAAAAAAAGGAAAGAAATAAGGAAACTCATTTATTCTTTCAATCAGTACCTACTGACAATGTACTACACCCCAGGTGATATGCTTATATACTGCAGGTTAAAGTGATTCTTAACCTTAAGTAGTTCACAGGACAAATGACATAGTGGTTAAGAAACCAAAAAAAAAAAAAAAAAAAAAAAAAAAAAAAAACCTATTTAAATAAAATACAAAAATGCTAAGATAGGTATGTACAGATAGTGAGAGCACAAGAAAGGGAACCACCAAGATAGATATTTACTCAATTCTAAGATGCCCTCAGTGGTAAAAGCACACCTTCAATTTAATAGTAGTTTTCTGAAGAGGGCATACATGTTATTTTAAATAAATATATTGGTTCTAAGATATATTATTATTATCATTATTTTTTTTATTTTTTTTTTTTAGGTTTTTTGCCATAAGGCATGTGAGCTCACTAGAGACAGAGAGAGGGAAAATGAGAAATCACTTCCCAGGAAGGATGACCCCAGGAGGAATCTCAATCCTTTCTCCTCCATTCTACTCTCAGGATTTTGGGCACCCATGCACACATGTCCAGCATGATTTTCAAGCTGCCAGGTCCAGAACTCAAACCATGGTTGTCCATGTGAAAATCTAATACTTTAAACACCACGCCACCTGCTAGTCCCAAGATTAAAATATTTTTGTGAAAATTATGTCTTAGAATTAATAATAGTGGGTGTCATTTATAAAGAACTCACTGTGTGCCAAGTACTTCATATGTATAACCTCACTGAAATAATTTTCCCCAAATTCATAAAATTGATAGTATCCCTATTTCACAGATAAGGAATTGAAACACGGGAGAGTAATATGTCTATAGCCAGAGGGCTTTCAAGTAGTAAATCAAGATTAAAATCGAGATAGATATCTATGTTAGTCAGAGATTATTATGCGTTTTTGTTTGCTTTGCTTTTTTTTTTTTTTTTTTTTTTTTTTTTTTTTTTTTTTTTTTGTGGGGGGGGGACCCCACAGCAAGCTTTTGCTATAGGGTATGGGTACTCACCAGAGAGACATGGAGAGAGAGAAAGTGAAAAATCACCCCCCCCCTCCAGTGGATGACCACACTGCAATCCCTTCTCCATTTCTCCTCTCAGGATTTTGATCACATACACATATGTACCCAGAATGCTTTTCAAGTTGCTGGTCCAAGGTTCAAACAGCATAGTTGGATTGTGTAGGATCCAGCCACCTTAACTTCCACATCAGTTGCTGGCCATAGCCTATGCTATTAACCACAGTATTCTATCAAGTTCTCAGGAAAAGTTCTCCAAGAAAAAGTGTTATGTGTTCATGAAGGACAGGTAGAATTTTGCCATAAAGTAGTTAAAATTAAGGTATTTCAGACTAACAGAATAATGTAAACAGTGATAAGGCGATATGAACAGTTTAATAAGCTGCAAGAGTATCAGGAGGGGAGTAGCTGCAAATGTTTAAAGTAGCTAGAAAAGTAAGGTAAAACAAAACTGTATAGGATTTCTACGCCATGCTGAGCTGTTTAATCTTTTCCTATAAAGTAGATCACTAATATTCAAAGTTGATTATGCATATTCCCAGAAGTACATAAAATGATCCACTAAGACAAAGAAAAATATATAAGAAATTCTATTTATAATTTCTTTGCATCTTAATTTTCTTTAAAGAATGCTTTACCTTCACAGTGAATTCTTTTTCTGTGAATTAAGTATATAAGGAAGCATACCTACTTATTAGATAGCATAGTGAGTTAAAATACGTTTACAGAATGCCTTGACATTTCAATGAGGTGGGTAAGCTTCCTTTAGATTTAAATAATAGCTGCAAAAACACTATGCCACCAGCTTTCCAGTGGGATGAAAGGAAAAAGGTCATGCATCCCATCAGCTTCTTTAATAGTAACTACTGTGCAAGAAAGCCTTAGCTCCTTCCTAGTGGTATACAATATTTAGTACTTTAAAATTCCCAAAATAAATATTCTTACAAAACAGTGAGACAGTCTCCAAATCATGATAACATTTTCCTATAATATTAAGCTTCACACAAAAATAGTTTCGTTTTGGGTAAGAAAAAATTATTTTAATTGCCTTCTTTAATTGTACATTTGCTTCTTCCTTTAGAAAATATTAATTCGGTTATATTTTCCCCATTATTAAAAGAAATAAAATTAAGACATTAAAAAGAATTTTAAATTCCTGTCTGTCACAGTCAATCCTGTAGATATTAAATGAAAGAATCATTATAACATTATTACTTTGGAACACTGTTTTCCTATTATGATGGAAAAATAGTTCTTAAGTGTTCACTATAAATTCATCAATGATTCATGTTACCAAAAACAAGGTCTATGTCTTCCACTATTTTGTCTTCATTATTAACAATAATACAACATTAATATTTCAAAACCATCCATAAAAATGGGTAAAAATGATTTTTCAAGGTTCAGAAGGTAATCCTTGTTGAAAGTGTGTGAAACTAAAGTAATTTTACAATATTTTATATATCAGGCTATTCTCAATGGCACTTGTTTTTGACACCAATATTTTAAGCTCTTAATAGCCATAATCATTAAAGCATAATTAAATAACATATAAGCTAACTTCTCACTATTTTAAACACCATTTTAGTTGTGTTGTTCAGTTATATGTTTAATCTTCCTAGTAATTATTTGGGGTGGAAAACAAAAAAAACCTCATCTCTTTCCTCATGCATTGCTGGAAGTAGGCACTATATAGAAGTTTTGGGGTATTTTTTTCCCCACATTAATTCCCTTTCTGGCAACCATTAGTCTTAATGGTCATAAAAGCTAGCATCTGCAATAAAAAATCTACAGGTTTTAAAGAGTTACTGTCAAGGAAATCAACTTTCAACCTAGTCACCCCTATTTCCTTCTGTAAAGATGAGATTTCAGGGGAAATTTGTATTACCCTCACTGATATACAGGTTTAGTGCATCTTTGCAATGCAAGGACTTTTTGCTACATTTCTGTTAAAAAAAAAAAACTAAAGAATGGAAGGAAAGAGATGTGAATAGCTTGGGAAGGGGAGGTAGACACTAGAGATTCAAGTTTTACATCAGAATGTTATCTGACTCGAGAGAGAGACTGGAGAGGTGGTGTTTGGTTCTGTTTCTTAAAAGAATCAGTGCCACTGTCAATCCAGCCGATTTAGATAAGACTTGATATGCCCAAAATTCAGGAACGGTTCATTCACAGAGTGACATCAGTCACAATCTTACTCTGAGCAACTTCAGACTATGAATGGTGACAGAATATACAGAAACACACTGCTGAAGGAAAAGCCCATTCAGTTCTCTGAAGGCACTTATCTTCACGGACAAGCCACTCTTTTTTGGGTTTCCCCTAGAATTCCCGGTTTCAAAAGTCACACAGCGGAGGAGGTGGCGCGCAGGGGGGGGGGGGGGGGGGGGGGTGTCTTACAAAAGAGGTTAACACCTGGAGATGAGAACACTCTGTCAGCTTGGATGAAAGAAGGAATGAGGGTGCACCGCAGCAGCTGCAGCCAGAGTACCCGCCGGCGGGCACGTGTACGTGGGACACCCCAGCCCGGCATGCTAAAGTCCCAACTGGGGTCCAAAGGAAGTTGTGCCGAGCGAGGGTTCATGCCGCAACCTGGACGAAGGTGGCCCCGCCTGGGGAGAAGGTGACCGGGTGCGGCAGGCGGCAGAGAGGGGCGTGCGCCCACACGTGCGTGAGCTGCAGGTGCCGAGGGCGGCGCATGCACGCCGGGGTGCGCGCGCGTGTGCGCGTGTGTACACACGGACACGGGAGAGAGGCGGCACCGGCCGGGAGGGTTCGAGGCAGGAGCTGGGCGGAGGGCGCCGCGGCACACACGCCTGCCCCCCACCCCCACCCTACCCCCACCCCCCGCACTCCCGGGACTCGACCGGTTGGTTACCTTTCTCCTCTCTCCACACCTTTTTCTTCTTTTTGCTGGGGTACATACTGCCGTGGGGGTGGCTGGCTTTAAGCTGCAAGTTCCCCAGGCTCACGGGCAAACAGGGTGTGTGTGGAGTGGGAGGGGTGGGAGGGGGCACTTGGGAGGGAAAAAGTGAAAGAGGCTTCGCGTCCTGCGCCGCTCGCTGCTCTTCAGTTGCCGCCCTCCTCCCTCAGCCCGCGCTCGGCTCCGGCTCCCACCCGCCTCAGCCCCGCGGTCGCCGCCACAGCAGCACCTCAGAGCCTGTCAACTAGGTCACGCCTCGCGCTAACCTAACACCCGCGCAGGCCCCGCCTCCCAGCTGCTAGGCAGCGCCGCCTCCCATTGGCTGCACCGCCCGCCGCTCTCCGCGTTCTAGTCACCGCGCGCCCCTAGTTCGGCCCCAGGGCGCACGCGCAGGCGCAGGCTCGGGCCAGACGCCGAGGACGTTGGGGAGCTCATGGGGGAGGAGCCAGGGCGCAAGGGGGCTGGAGACTGTCTCGCCGAAGGGGCGGGGCGTAGAGTCCAGGAGTAGCGAGAGGTGGACGCAGCTTCCCGCTGGCTTCGCGGCCCCTCCTCGAGGGACTGTGGGCGTGGCCAGTAGAACCAGGTGCGCCAGGTGACCACGGAGCCTGAAGGCGAAAGCTGCAGAAGGGAATGGAAGATGCGCAAGTAGGAGGAGACCATGGGTCCGCACGAATTGCCCTTGCTCTCTCTTAACTGCCCTGACTGGGCAGATTTTACCAAGTAATCTGAAGCTTTCCTCTTGGCGGGCAAATGAATAAAAGCCAAATAAGTGGAAAGATTGGGAAATGATCCACACTATGTAATGCCTGTATCTTGTAGTAAAAATTACATATTGCATTGGAATTTGGGGAAGTTTGGAAATAGTAAAGGTAGACTAAGTTACTCAAGGGTTTAATTGCCCACTAGATATTGTGGACAACTAAAATGTTATACTGGAAACTGAAGTTTTACATCAAAGCAAATTCAAATGGCTATTAACCAGAACTTGGTCATCTGTATTTTACTCCTCCACCAACTGCTTCAGGTCAAGGCGCTGGTGTAAAAGAGCCGCTTGATTCTGAGTAATACCAATCAGGCGTTTTCTGAAAACCCAGTTCCAGTAAAGTCGACCACAAGAGTCAGGTGATCCAGAATTTAGAAGTGTGGTACGTTCTTTCCCCCAAAGTTATTGTCATTCTAAATATTAGACCATTCTCAAGGTTGATTTAATGGATGTGTTAAATCCACATTTATCTGGCAAATTCAAGTACTCTATTACAGGTGTTCTGTTGGGCAGATACTTAGGAATACATTTTTATAAGAAATGACAGAGAAAAGAATGGGGAAACCCTGTTAAGAATTGTAAAGAAATGTGTTAAGTAATGGAATTCACATAAGGGTGATTAATAACATTGAAAGGTAATATTTTTAATTTGATATTGTCTCTGCTTTTTTTCTTTTAATACACAAATATATTAAAAAGTTATTTGAGGGTCAGCAGGCAGCATGGTAGTAAAGGTACTAGACTCTGACATGGCTGACCATGGTTCAAGTCCTGGACCTGGCAGCTTCAAAAATCATGCAGGGCACATGTGCATGTTTGCCCAAAGAGGAGAAGGGCCACCCCCCTCAAGGGGGGGGGGTGATTTCTCACTTTCCCTATCTCTTTCTCTCTGTCTCTCTCTCTCTCTCTCTCTCTCTGGTGAATACACATGCCCCATGGCCAAAAGTCTTCAAAAAAAAAAATTAATTGGGCATCTGCCTCTTATTGGTTAAGGATACTAGATCCCATGTGGCCAACCACAGTTCGAATCCCAGCTCCAGCAGTTTGGGATTATATACTGAGCACCTGTGTATGCATGCCCCAAATCCCAACAGGATGGAGAAATGGAGGAGAAGGGTATGCAGCATGACAGCACTCCACTGGGGGATTCTTTCTCCCTCCCTCTCTCTGCTCTCTCTTGTTGGTGAGAGTATGCACCATATGGAAATTTAAAAAAAAAAAAAGTATTAAGAAAATTATTGGGGGTTGGCCCCATAGCCCAGAGGTTAAAGAAGTTGGATCCCACATGGCTCACCACAGTTAAAATCTCAGTTCTAGCAGCTTGAAAAATACACCAGAAACACATATATGTATGTCCAAAATCACATCAGGAGGAAGAAATAGAGGAAAAGGGATTCTGGAATAACCAAGCTTTATTGAGGATACTTCCTCCCTCTCTAGCTGTATCTCTCTGCTGAGTGCATGTGTCTCTTGCAATTGAAAAAAAAAATTATTTGCCTGTGACTAACATGCGGCATGGTGGTTAAGGCACTAAACTCCCACATGGCTGACCATGGTTCAAGTTCCAGACTTGCCATGGTTCAAGTTCCAGACTTGGTGACTTGCTCTCTCTCTCTCTCTCTCTCTCTCTCTCTCTCTCTCTCTCTGTCTGTCTCTCTGGTTAAAAATTTTAAATAATAAAACTAAATAATTATTTTCTAAAAATTATTTGGCTGGGAGAAATAAGGAAGGCTTCAATTATAAAGTGAAATTTTATTTGCCAAGATGGCATCAAAAGTGAAGAAGGCAGCTCCCGCCCCTCCCAAAGCTGAAGTTAAAGCAAGGCTTTGAAGGCCAAGAAGGCAATGCTGAAAGATATCCACAGCCACAAAAAAAAAAAAAAGAAAGAAAGAAAGAAAGAAAGAAAGAAAGAAAGAAAGAAAGAAAGAAAGAAAGAAAGAAAAAAGGAAGATTCATACATCACCCAACTTCCAGAGATCCAAGGCTCTGCAACTGCAGAGGCAGCCTAAATATCCTCAGAAGAGCACCCCCAAGAGAAATAAGCTTGCTATCATCACCACTGAGTCTGCCATGAAAATAGAAGACAACACACTTGTGTTCATTGTGGATGTCAAGGCCAACAAACATAGATCAAATAGACTGAAAAAGCTCTATAAGGAGCCAGCAGGTTGCATGGTGATTAGGGGCGCTGGCTTCCCACATGGACAACTGCAGTTCAAGTCCTGGACCTCATAGCCTGCTTTCTTGCTTTCCTTTTTTCTCTCTCTGTCTCTCTCTGGTCAAATTTAATAGTAATCACAACAACAAGAAGTAGAATTAAATAAATAGATAAACCATTCTTTTTAAGAAAAGAATGTTTTTTAAATAATTTTTTTATTTCCTTTTTTTTTAATTTTGATCAAAGAGAGAGAGAAAGAGAAAGGGAGAAAGCAAGCTGCCAAGTCCAGGACTCAAACCATGGTTGGCCATGACACCATCTGCCAGCCCCCTTATTTAAATAAATAAATAAATAAATAAATAAAGCTCTATAATGTTGATGTGGTCAGGGTCCACACTCTAATCAGGCCTGATGGAGAGAAGACGACATATATGTGACTGGCTTCTGATTATGATGCTTTGGATGTTGCCAACAAAATTGGTATCATCTAAACTGAGTACAGTTGGCTAATTCTAAATACGCATTTTTACACTTTAAAAAATAATTAAAAAACAAGGAAGTAACATTTGAGCTAGTAATAAAAATACACACTACTGTTGGCAATGAAAGTAGAAAGGCTTTAATTCAAGGGATGTTACCAAGGTAGAATCAATAAAAATTAGTAATGGGGGAGTCAATGGGTAGTATGATTGTTAAGTTGCTGGACTCTCACATGACCAACCACAGTTCAAGTCCCAGACTAGACAGCTAGAAAATCACACTGGGTGCATGTATGTGCATGTCTGAAATCCCAAGAAGAGAATAGAAAAGGGACTGTGGCATGACCATATCCCTCCCCCTGGGGTATGATCTCTCACTTTTTCTCTCCCTGTCTCTCTCTGGTGAGTGCACATGCCCTATGAAAAAAGAAAAAAAAACTTTTAAAAAAGTAGGTAATGAAATAGATTTTGAGAGGAAAAGATGACAATTTCATGGGATGGTTAAAGAGAAGAATAGCAATATTAATAATATTAGGCAATACCGAAAGAGATGCAAATATTGTGAAAAAGATATTGAGTTCTTATTTAGAAATGCTAAATGTAAGGTGTCTGCAAGAAAGTGCATCCTATTAGCCACTTTCACTTTAACAGGGAAGTTGTTCACAGTCCAGCCTAAAACCAATCCTCTACCTAAATGTTCTTAGGAACATTACACTACTGATTAGCTCGTCTAATGTCAGCTCAAAAAATCTGAACTTTCTTTTTAAATTACTTATTTAATTTTATTTACTATAATTATTATTATTTGACCAGAAAAAGAGAAAGGTAAAGTGAGAAAGCAAGCCACCAGGTCCAAGACTTGAACCTGTGGTCAGCTATGTGGGAGTCCAGCACCTTAACCACCATGCCACCTACTTTCCCCAAGAATTGGAACATTTTTTGTTTTAAGGCACTGGTATTTAAAGGCATTTAGCAGTTAGTATTTTTTTTTAAGAATTATTTTATTATTTATTTATTTATATTTTTATGTGACCAGAGAGTGGCAGAGAGAGAGAGAAAGAGAGAAAGTGAGAAAGCAAGCTGCGAGATCCAGTACTAGAATTGCAGTTAGCCACATGGGAGTCCAGCACCCTTAACCACCACAACACCTGCCAGCCCCACATTTAGTATTAATAACTCTGACAAAAAAAAACTATTATCATTAAAAGGATTAAATATTTAATGTTTCAAAAGTACCTGAAATGTACCATGTACAAAAAGAAACTCTATGCTTCTTTCAGTTTTCTTCATCTCTTTGAATGGATGGAGAAAATTATTTACTTTTCTTACTTTTTATAAGTAAAGTCTCCCAATTCTTTGAATGAGTCCATCAACCCATTCATCTGAACAATCTAGAAATTTAAGTACCATCCCTGTTACTTATTACATTACTCACATAACAAATGTTTGATATATCTGCTCAGTTTTATCTCCTTTATAAGTCTGCAGTCACTCCATTTTCCAGAAGTACAGCAGTAAACTCAATCTGAACTTAACTGGACTACTGCAAAGACTTCCTAACTGACTTTAAAGTCCATTGTTAAATCTCTTCTGTTTCTTTTCTTTTCTTTTTAGTTAGGTTATTGTCATACAGTGCATGCACTCACCAGGGAAAGACAGAAAGTGAGAAATCACCTCCCACAGAGGGGATGGCCACACTGCAATTCCTTCTCCTCCATTCTCCTCTTGGGATTTGGGCATGCATACACATGTGCCAAGCTGATTTTCAAACTGCCAGGTCCAGGATGCAAACTGTGTTTGGCCATATGAGAGTTTAGCA